GACAGGCAGAAGAGGGGTAGGGAGGAGGGACTTAGGAAGCCACAGTGAAGAGTAATGAGGCCCCTCCCAAACCCTCCCTTCTCTGGCCCCAGGAGCTATTGTCTGAGACCCAGGGATGATTTGTTTGCCCACAAAGCTGAATGGGATGACAAGCAAATCATCTGATTGGCTGAGAATGACTGGTTAATTAGGAAATGAAATCGGGGACTATGCACTCAGAGCTGTTTGTGGGTTTGTGGGAGTTTGTTTGCTTTGTTTTATTGAGTGGGTGGCTCTCACCATCATGATAATAGAGAGCTGATGAACAGAGAAAACACAGGAAATCATTTGGCCTTCAGCCCAAAATGAGGGCTGCAGGGATGAGGATTTCAGTGTTGGAGGAGGGGACAGCAGCTGTTCCCGGCAGCACAAACCAGGACTAGCTCTTCTTGGCCACAACAGACCTCCCCACCCAGAATGCCCACCCTGGGTTCCTCTCAATCTTCCATTGCCTCTCCTACCTCCTGACCCAAGTCCAAGTCCAGGCTGGTTTTCAGGTGTGGCTACAAGCTTGTACCACATAGGGATCCTCTTTAAGGAAAAAAAGAACACAAATTTAGGTATGAAAGTGAATATTGATTTTGAATGAAGAGAGTAATTCATAATGAATAAGAAAAAAAATTAAAACCTGACAAGATGCACAAATATCAGAAAAACAGTAATGTTTGTATTAATTAACTGCTGGTATACCTCTAAAATACTTTTTTATTCTCTATGTGTATTGGCTTCATATTCTCTTTGCTTCTTTATACATCAGTGATTAGGTTATATGATTTTTCTATAGAGAGAATAGAAAGATTCTTTGTGCAGAAGAAAGCTTTCATTTTGGTAAGGTGTCAATGAGGATGAACTCCTTCACTTCCCATGGTACATTGTCTAAGGATTAGAATAACATCCCACAGGCTGCTTCTAGCTCTGTCCCTTCACTCACTTCCTTCTGGTGTTGAGCATGTTCTTCTCGAGATATGACCCCTGGCCTTACACCTTCATGTTGTAATGCTAGGTAAGTCAGTAAGAGTGAGAGCTGGAATATCCCTGGAAGCCATTTCCACACCAGAACAGTTGGCAATAGCTTTACTCTACATGAAATTAACTGAAAGCTCTCTATATATCCCACTATACTCATGCTAAATGTAACTCTGACCCAACTTCTTAGGCAGATCCCCAAATGCCCATAACTCTCCAAAACCTCCTGACACAAGCACATTGCAGGGGAAAGAAACAGCAGTCCTAACTGATGTAGTTCAAGTGTCTTACTTTTGCAACCTTTACAAAAACATCTGGGCATGTGAACCCCTTGTTAGTGCCTTTCCCGGGTCTTTGGAAGGAGTTGTTGCATGTGAGGATCCTGGAATTCCATTTGTTTTGTGGTAATTCCACTAATAATCAAACTCTGCCAGCCCTTTTGTCCTCCCTCTCCTCCATCTCATGTCTTCTCAGGTTTGGCATAGTGGAATTCAAATTCCCAGCTCTGACCCACACTGGTTGTATTGCATTCAGGAAGCCATCAGCCCTAGATAAGCCATGGCTACCTTGCCTCAATGATGGGAAAGCTCCAGTTGCAAAGAGAAAGCAAGTTTTCCCCCTTTCGTGGTGGTATTTGGCTAAAGGAAGGGCAGAGTTGGGCTGAACAAGTATAAGCATCATTTGGGAACTGCTACAGACCTTTGAGATGACTTAGCTAAGTATTGCCCCAAGTCTATCCTGTGCAACAAGAATCAGCTGCACAGATGACAACATTTATTGAACACCCACTATAAGCCAAACACTCACTGAGGCAATAGGACTATAGCAGTGAATACTGAAACATGGCTCTGCCTTTAGTGAGCTTATTTCAGTTGTGGGGGAGGCAGGGAAGACACTTGAAAAAAATAATATTGTTGAGGTAAATGTAGGTGGAGAAGGTACTAATTAGAGGCTACTGGTAGAGGAGGCTGTCAAAGCAGATGAGCAATGACTCCTGGAGAACTGAGCAAGGAGGAGGGACAGTCACATGAAGATCTGGAGAAGAAGTAGTCCAGACAGAGAGCCCTGATCTACAGCAGTCTTGGCCAGTGTGAGGGGCAGAAGGAAGTCACAGTAGATAGCAGAGGACAAAAGGAGATGGTTTTGGTAAGGGATCCCAGGTCAGAGTATGCATAGCTTTGAACTGAGGCAGGGATTTGGTGTTTTATTCAAATTGGGCTGAAAAACCACTAGAAAAAACAGGCACATGGTAGGATCTGTTGTGAATTTTAATACAATAATTCTGGTCTGTAAGTAAAGAACTTTTTATATGGGTGTAGAAGTGAAGTCAAGATACCAGTTGGGAGACCATTATGTCAGTCGAGCTGAGAGGTTATGGTGGCTGGGTTGAGGTTATAAAGGTGGAAATGAAGAGAGATGGTGGGATTCAGGATATAGTTTGGAAGCAAAACCAACAGTATTAACACTTGGAGTGGATGTGGGTTGTGAGGAAAATATAGAATTCAATGATGACTCCCATATTTTTTTAGCCTGAAAAGCTAGATAAATGCTGGTACCATTTAAAGGTTGAGGAGCTTTGAGGGCTGGGGGTTCCTTGTTGGAGCAGATTTGGGAGGGGTGAATTATTTATCTCTTGCTGCATAACAAATTACTCCCAAATTTAGGGACTGCCAACAACAATAATTATTTATTATCTCTCCCAGTTTCTGTGGGTCATTCATTCAGGAGTGGGTTAACTGGGGGTGCCGGCTTGAAGTCTCTCCTGAGGTTTCAATCTTTTTAAGTCTTGACCGATGCTGAATAACCTGGTTTCAAGGTGTCTCTCTTACATGGTGGGCAATTTGGTGTGAAGTCTCAGTTCTTCTCCACATGGGCTGGCCCACAAGACTATTGAGTGTCCTCGCAGTACGGTGTCTGGCATCCCCCACCCCCACCCCCATTGGTGCCATCTAAGAGGCAGTAAGGTGAAAACTATAGGGCTCTTTCTGGCTTAGCCTTGGATGTGACAAATAGTCACATCTACAGTATCCTATTTGTCACAGCCTATTCAGTGTAGGAGGGACTACACAAAAGTATGAGGCATACATGCTCTTTATTGGCATGATCAGTAGACTCCTTCAGTTGCAAGTGACAGAGAACAATTCAAGCAAGCTTAAAGTGAAAAGTAATATATTGATTTTGAGAAATGGAAAGTCCAGTGGAGTATGCATGACTGGATCTAGGAGCTCAAATGAAGCTATTTGGACCCAGTGTTTATTCTTTCCTTCTCTTGGCTTCCATTCTCACATGGGTAAATTCCCAAGGGTGGCCAGATGGCTGCAGATTCACCAGCTTTATATCCTTTCATCCAAGTGCAGCTGAAAAGAGAGCCTTTCTTCCCCAATAGTTTGAACAAAAGTTCTGGGCTTGATTCCCAATTCCACTGACTGACTTTAGCCTGGGTCGCATGGCAACCTGTTGGAGTTGGGAAGTAAAGCCTAATCCCTCCAAAGGATGGGCTAAGAGTGGGATAGAGCTGTTTTATGCTCTTCAGGCACAGAGGTGGCTGAAACCAAGTGTTCGCCTCACAGAACTCAGTCTGGTGGAAGAACAGGTACACTGGTAGGAAGGACAGCACTAGAGGGGAAGCACATACTTCCAGAGAGATAGGAGGGACACCTGAGCTGGTGCTCTCATCTTAAAGAAGGTGTAGGGATTAATCCAAGATAGGGCAAGAGTGCTCCAAACAGAAGACACAGCATGTGCAAAAGCAAGGAGTCAAAATATAGTGGTTTGGAAATGAGTGGAGAACTATATCCAGTTCTCTGTTTCTAGAGAGCTAATGGCAGAAGTGACAGGGAAATGATCTGTGTTGGGGAACTGACTTGGATCACAAAGGCCTTGCATTTACCCTTAGAGCACTGGGCAGCCTGTGGATAGGCAGTGGACAACCCCATTATGTTTCCATTCTCAGAGGTCTCTTTAGCAGAGGGTAGAGGTGGATCAGAAGTGGCCAAGCCTGAGCTTGGAGGGGGGGTGGTCAGGCAATAAGGAAGTGGTCAGTCACAGTGGTACAGTGGTATAGGCAGGAGGGGAGTGGGTCTGAAGGAGAGAGGCACCAGGAAGACTAACAGAGGAAATGAGTTTGGAAGGCAAGACCCTGGCTAGTGCCAGTGAGAAGGCAGGCTCATGGTTTCCTTGGGCTGCATGACAGGTAAAGAAGATAGAAGTGGCAAATCTAGCCCTTAGTGCCTATCCCAGAGAAGCCCTTGCACATGTCCCAAAGAGCCTTTGAAAGGAATTTCTGTGAAGTGCTATTTATAATCTGAAATATAAAAAGGCGATACAGCATAGAATGTGGTTAAGGCCTTTAGCTCTACCTCCCATGTTTACAATAGGACTGCTGTTGAGTTGAGGGGCCTGGAAGACCCCATCGGGTGAGTCCACCAGGCAGCTGGATGTACAACTCTGAGGCTCAGAGAAAATCCAGTTTGCAGACTTATTTGGCATATGCATGTTTCAAAATGCTGTGCTTTAATATACTCTCTTAATTAGGATTGCCATGGTTGTAAGAAACAGAAGCCCACTCAAGCTACTAAAGCAAAAAAGGGAAGATACATCTTAAAGACACAGGTCTGAGACCCCAAGGCAAGAAACATGGCCTCAGCAAAGTCTAGAACTAAGGCTGCAAAGCCACCACGTATTAAAGGCCACTTCTATCACATGTTATCTCCCTCTTATTTGGGGAGAGTTTGTTAAAGATCTTTCCTGAAGCAAAAAGTTAATTTTAATAGAGTCTTTCCATCCCATCCACCTCCAGACAGGTTCTCTAAGGCTCTACAATTTCACCATTCACAGGGGGAGAAGACCCTCAGAATACCACCTGAGAAAACCAGGCTTCCCTGGTCACAGTGGTATTTATGGCCACCCATTGGAGAGCCACATGAAGCTTCCTCTGCCCCCACCTCTTCTTTGCTAATTCAGCTCTAACTTGGTTGCATCTGCTTTGCTGGCAGCTTCATGGAAGTTAAAGGGAAGAATTAAGGAAAAAAGGAGAAAAAGCTGCCGGAGACTTTCCTGTGACTCGCTGCTAATAAAGTTGATTAGACTGACAAGTCTCTCCAGTTTTATTACTGACAGCTTGTGTCCTCATTTTGATTTATCACCACCACACCTACCTGAGTCAGGAGTGGAGATTAGCCCAAATTAAAGCTTGGGTGACTCAGGAGAGCTGAGACATGACAGCAGGTGGAGGTGGAGGTTGAGGGGGTGAGAGAGCAGCTAACATCTGTGGGTGGGTGGACACAGGCCCTGGCAGAGTCAAAGATGGAGGTACCAAGGATTGACTTCTCTAAATGGGAGGAGGGGGGATTTTACTATTTCCTCTCTGACCATGGAAGAAAGTCCATAAATAAAGCTTGTGGGTTTTGTGTGTGGCTCTGTCAGTCTCAGGGGGGTAATAAATTTTAACCAAGACTTATCTCTGCAGAAACCTGGGAACATGAGCTCAATTATCTCCAAAATAAAGCTATGCATTCTGCCTGTGTTATCTTCTTCCAGAAATACTTCAGCTTCTAAGTGTGGGCTGGCTAGACATGAAAACACTTAAGATCCTGGGGAAGTCTGGAACCCATCTGTAAACCCTCCACAGTACCCTTAGAGGCCCTCCGGCAGCTCACAAAAGATTTACCATGTAACTATAAATTTTGGTAGTTTGACCCCACACTTTCTGTTGCTCCCTGAGAAGCCCAATTCCAAAGACTTATCAGAATTTTTCAAAGACCTATTGTTGAAAGTGCTGCTGTAAACATTGGGGTATAAGTGCCCCTATGCATCAGCACTCCTGTATCCCTTGGGTAAATTCCTAGCAGTGCTATATTGCTGGGTCATAGGAAAGAGCCTAAATGTCCATCAACTGATGAATGGATAAAGAAATTGTGGTTTATATACATAATGGAATACTATGTGGCAATGAGAAAGAATGGATATGGCCTTTTTGTAGCAACGTAGATGGAACTGGAGAGTGTTATGTTAAGTGAAATAAGCCATACAGAGAAAGACAGATACCATATGTTTTCACTCTTATGTGGATCCTGAGAAACTTAACAGAAGACCATGGGGTAAGGGAAGGAAAAAAAAAGAGGTTAGAGAGGGAGAGAGCCAAAACATAAGAGACTCTTAAAAACTGAGAACAAACTGAAGGTTGATGGGGGGTGGGAGGGAGGGGAAGGTGGGTGATGGGTATTGAGGAGGGCACCTGTTGGGATGAGCACTGTGTGTTGTATGGAAACAAATTTGACAGTAAATTTCATATTAAAAAAATTAAAATGAGGGTAATAACAGTAAAAAAAAGAATTTTTCAAAGAGCATAGTAGTTGACTCAAATCTGATGTAAGAATATACCCGGAGGACATTTGAGTAATAACTCTGAGATTCCTTTCTAAATGAGTTTCTGGGATCCCAAAATGGGAAATTCCTGGAATAAATGAGTAGAACACTAATATTGAATGAGATGGCCATTCTTCAAGAAAAACAAAATTCAGAGTGTCCCGTTATATATCAAGGATCCAGAGTTGACTGTCCTGTCCTTATTGGCAGGGTCATGCCTCAGGTCTTATTTTCTTCATCTTAACTCACAGAGCATAGATCCTTTAGCACAGTAGACACTCAATGAATGCTTGTTGAATAAATGAACAATGAGCTGATTGCAAGAATGAAATCCACAGCTTGATGGTTAGAAAGGCTGGTCCAGAGAATTTAAATTCCCACAGCTGAGCTCTTGGCCCCTATATCCAAATACCTTCCTGACCTCTCTTCTTGGATGTCAAATAATGATCCCAAAAATTAGACATCCAAGACAGGACTCTTAGATTGTCTCCTGTCTTCCTAACTCAGGAGTGGGCAAACATCCAATCAACCAGATGCTTAAGTCAAAACCTAAGGGTCATCTCTGAATTTTTTCTTTGTATTTCTCCCTACATAGTAATGCATTAAATAGTTGCATCAACACTACCTCCAGAATATTCCCCAATTCTATCCAGTTCTCTCTCTCTGCTACTACTACCCTGGATCAACTGTTCATTGTCCCTTGCCTAGGATACAGCCTTAGCCTTCTAATTGTTTTCTCTGATTTTAATTTTTTTTTTTTTTTACTTTTAGAGAAACAGAGAGCACGAGTGGGGGAGAGGGGCAGAGGGAAAGAGAGAGAATGTTAAGTAGGCTACATGACCACTGCAGAGCCCAATGTGGGGCTTGATCTTATGACGCTGAGATCATGACCTAAGCTAAAATCAAGAGTTGGATGCCCAACGAACTGAGCCACCCAGGTGCCCCTGTTTTCCCTACATTCATTCTTCCATGCCACCCCACCCCTAACAGTCCATTATCCATGCAGCAGCCAAAAGATATTTCCAAAACGTAAATCAGAGTAATTATTTCCCATCACAACTTTTTATAAAAGTCCACAAGTTTCTAGATGATCTTTATTTTGACTAAATTTTAAACTATCTCATACAACTCTCTCCATGCTATACTCTGGCTCTACAGAAATTCTTTATTCTTCTGACCAAGCTTGTTTCTACCGCAGGGCCTTTGTATTTGCAGTTTTTAACTACCTGAAAGACCTTTCACCCGGATCTTCACATAACTGGCTCCTTCATTTCATTCAGACCTTAGCTCAAGTCCTCCACCTTTTTTTAAAGAAGTACTTTTCCAATTTCTAGTACCTCTTTAAATATTTTCCTTATATCATGTTCACTATATGATATTATCTTATTAACTTGTTCATTTATGTGTTTATATAGACAATAAAATATAAACTACTAGAATATAAGCTCCATGAGCTAGTCTATATTGTTTACTGCTGTATCACCAGGGCCTAGAAAAGTACTTGGTACACAATAGGCATTCAGGGAATATTTATTGAACAGATACAGCCTGGAAGGTAATTGCTCCAACCAAACACTAATATGGAAGCTTCATGGTCACACTTCTTATTCTTAAAGGAGCCAGAAACCATTGTGTTGGTGAACTGAGTTTGACCTTAAAAACCAGGGAATCATAACACATCAAGGAGAAGACAGCCATGGGATAAGGAAAGGGGTCTTCAAGAACAAGCTTCTATCTGCTGCCCAGCCTCTCTGGGCCTTCTTAACCCTGTTTTATGGACTTTTTAAAAAAATCAATTTTGCCTACCCACCTTCTGGAATAGGCCTTTGCTGGGGGCTTCCAAAACTCATGCCTTGGATTTAGAAGCTGATTTGCCTGACTGCAAACCCAGACCAAGCATGAAGAAACCTAAATTGCAAAAAAACAAAACAAAACAAAACAAAAACAAAAAAACCAAACCAAAACAAAACAAAACAAAAAAAAAACACCCGAAAACAACAACAAAAACAAAAAACAGCCAGAAAGTCGAGTTTTCATCAGAGAAGATAAAACTTGTTGTATTGATTGAGGCAAGCATAGGAAGGGTGATAGGGAGCAGAAAACAGCCAGAAGCTCTCATTTCTGTCTGATCATAATCAACTCAGAGGTTTAGCTTCTCTATTTCATTACACTAGGGAAAGAAGAAAGCACTGACAACCCCACTCTCACAATCGAACACACCTGCAGGTAATATCTCTCTTGCTTTCCCAATCTCTCCCCCCCTTTTTAAAAACTATTTTCCTTATTAAACTTGCACTGGGTGAATCTCCACTGGCCTATTGATTTGAGTATTAGACTGTGTATCAAAGATATGAAAATACAAATTGTTGTTTCAGAGAGAAATGACTGTCTTTATATTGTTTCTGTCTCCAGGGTTCTAAATATTCCCTGGGGTTCTTAGGCTGCATGGAATTGGAACGAGGGCATCTTCTTGGCAAATGTGGAGTAGATTCTCAGGGAAGATCTGAGCAACCCCTTGCTGCTGTTGCTGACTGGCCCAGTAACAGGTCAAAGATTTTTCTACTTACAATTTTTTAACTCTATATAGAGTCTGGTCAGAATGGGATCTGCATCAAGACATTTCCTGGATACGTTGTTCCAGCATTTAAATCTTGAGAGTGGCCTGTGTGTGGGATCCCACGCACTGATTAACCAAGACACTGGGAAGCCCCCTTCATTAATGTCTTCTGTGCATCAGAGGGCTGGTGCATATAATTGTTGTTGACCAGTGTGAAATCAACTCCCAGAATATGGAACAGTGAGAGGCAGAGGAGAATTCAGATAGTGATGGAGGAAGGCAGAGAGAGAGGAAGAGGCAGTTGGTAGGTTTTCTGCTGATTCTTAGAAGCAGGTAAAAGCTCTCAAGCAGAGTTGGAATTGTGCTCAGTTTATGGGTCTTTAAGGAAGCACTGGTCCATGATGCCTGTGGTATTCTTTCTCTTTTATCTGACTGATTTAGACTGGGCCATTGTGTGTACTGTGGCTGTACAGATAGTGACCTGGTTGATGGGCATGTGGGACCAAAATGGAGCTGATGCTCTGCTCACCATGCTGGGTAGCCCTAACACAGAGTTGTATCAGCCCTAATAAAAGAATACCCTTAAAAATAATCCTAGGCCCCTGGGTGGCTCAGTCTATTAAGCATCCAACTCTTGATTTCAGCTCAGGTCATCTTCTCACAGTTCGTGAGTTTGAAACCTGTGTCAGACTCCACACTGACAGTATGGAGCCTGCTTGGGATTCTCTGTCTCCCTCTCTCTCTGCGCCTCCTCCACTCATACTTTCACTCACTCACTCTCTCTCTCTCTCTCTCTCTCAAATAAATAAATAAATAAATAAGCTTTAAATTAAATAAAAAACAGTATTTTTTTAATATATGAAGTTTATTGTCAAATTGGTTTCCATACAACACCCAGTGTTCACCCCAACAGGTGCCCTCCTCAATACCCATCACCCACCCTCCCCTCCCTTCCACCCCCATCAACACTCAGTTTATTCTCAGTTTTTAAGAGTCTCTTATGCTTTGGCTCTCTTCCACTCTAACCTCTTTTTTTTTTCCTTCCCCTCCCCCATGGGTTTCTGTTAAGTTTCTCAGGATCCACATAAGAGTGAAAACATATGGTATCTGTCTTTGTATGGCTTATTTCACTTAGCATCACACTCTCCAGTTCCATCCATGTTGCTA